TCAGAGAATTACGATGACGGTACCAATGTAGTACTTCATTCCATACCCGTCACGTGAACAGAAGCTGTGTCCACTGGCTAATGCGGATAACGGCATTTCCCAATCCAATGTGCCGCAGAAGCGTGGCACCCACCCTGTTGACCCCTTGGATGTATCACGTACTGATATCCAAACCTACCACAGTGTCTTCTTTTTTGGCCGTGGTATGGTCTTTGGACAATGACCAACACGTTTCCTATGAAATTATTGTAACCAAACTAATTAACGGTAAAGACAGCCGCTGATGTTTCTGAAGAACAAAATGAAAACCTTCTTACATCTGTGTTTTGAGCATGCAGGAGAGTGTTTACTATTGACATTTCTGTTGTGGAGTTATTTCCAAGAGCATTAGGGTTGTATGGCTCATCCTGGACCTCTTCATCTCAACAGATTAGCTCTGCACTCGAGATTCAATTGGAAGAATGCTCCCTGCACTGTCAGCAACTGTTCACACATTGAAATTAAAATATTTATTGTTTTTCTTGCCTGTTTGGGTTTCGTTAATGGCTGACCTGGCAATAATTAGCGGTGTGTATGGTATTTATATCCCAACGATGCTGTTCGTGTGCTTTTGCTGCTCCGGTCTCTGAAAACAACCATCAGCTGAGACGGGGCCTCATTGAACCTGCTGCAGAAGGTGCCAGGCTAGTAATTAATTAAAGACGATATCTTATTTCAGATTTACTAATTGACGTCTAGTACCATGTGCACAATATTTCCATCACACAGACACAGAATGCAATTACCTTACTGGGTCATTGAACCAGCTCAACACACACACACACACACACACACACACACACACACACACCACCCTTGGATTGAAGTGATACGGCCGCTAGATAAAATGCCGGGATGCCTCACCTTGTCGGATGATGGCAGGCGTGGAGGACACTCGGCATTATTAAAGCTATTTGGCAACTGTCGGTGTCCAGTGAGCCAGTTAGTGTGACCCCCTTCCCAACGGCATGGAGGTATTAGTTTTGGGACAGGACGGGAAAGCATGCATTGTGACTTAAAAGTAACTATCGTGCAATTCTCGGGTAATCCAACCAGAAAATCCTATCGGGGACACCGTTAAAAGGTTAATGCTGTAGGGTGCAGGTGGTTGTAATCCTGTTTTAAGTTATTGTAAAACAGTGAGTCAGGGGCTTCTCTTGGAGCTTAATCGGAGAAACACATTTACAGTCGCCGGTAGGGCTTCGTCAGACGGTTCTGTAACTGGATGATGTTGGTTTATACGATGTCCAAGTGAGGATCCGTCCCACTGAAGGGTCCGAAAGCTGGATCCTGAATCTGCAAGCTACCAGCCCTTTACAGCAACAGAGAAACAGAACTTCAACTGATCTTTAACCTATCTGTCTTTCTTACTTTTGAATCTTTTACCTTGTATCAACTTTTTCCATCCTCCAGAAATTCCCATTTTATATTCTATATCTTTCAAAGTATCCTTTGCCTTGCCCTAATCGTGTCTCGTACCTCATATTGTGACCACCAATTACCTCCACCGTCATCTATCAAGGACCCCTTCTTTCACGGGGAACCCTTTGCTCAGGCTTCCTGTGTTCAGCTCCTTGTTTTTCAAGATGGCTGCCTTCAAAAAATAAAATTCCACGTTATTCATTCAGAGCTTGACAGAGGTGGCTAATTAGTCTGGGTGGTGATTACACCCCTGGAACCAAAAGTCTATTTACGCATTCACCACATCACGGACCAGTGGGGGGAAATAAGGGCAACGATGCATCTGATGATGTAGTCGATACTGAATGAAGCATTACTGGCTCGTAAACAGCAATGGAGCCTACTTAGTCATGCTGATGATGATGGCCCTATCTCAACAGGAAACTGGTAATCAGTGAAACGGACCTTGATTAAAATGAATTATGGCGCACGCAGGGGGCCCTGAGTGATCTAGAGTGCACAATATGCCTCTCCTAATTTTCATTTTTGCTTTGAGATATCTGAGGGGTTGATCTAGGGCCCATTTTCCCCTTCATCCTCCCAGCTGTCAATTTAAAAAAAAAAAAAAAAAATTATGGTATTAGAGGTGTGTTGCTCATTCGCTGGTGGTCGGAGGTGCTGCAGCGGCATCACTCGTCGTCATGTGCTCCGTGGCCCGAGACCATGTTGGCAGCTATGCATTAAATTGCTAATGTGCACGGCAGAGCTACATTATCCACCCCATCAAAGTGACAAGGGCAGGGATAAAGCACTCCTCTCGGCTGTCCACGAGATCATTGGAAAATGGGTTTTATTTATTTATATTTTTTTTTGCGGATACGGCCGGGCAGCGTGCATAGTTGTCTTTTTTTACAATGCCTTCTTTGAATTTGCTCGTTTCCGCGTCGCTGGTTTGACAGCTGCAGAACAATGAGGCAAAACATCGCCGCTCAGTTCCACCTGCATTCAGAGTCCCACTGTGGTAGAGCTCTCTCTCTCTCTCGCCTGGCTGCCTCTGCAGCTTTGTAACATTACGGGTCTTTGGCACACCTCAGTACGTATGTAAATAGTTTCACAGAATAGAAAGACAAATGTATTGTCTGGAGCATCATCTGACTTTTTAAAAGAACTGTTTGGTTGGCCGCTGCAAATTGTGTGCCGTAAAATGAGCTTCGGAAGGAAGATGCGATCACAAGATTGAATCTTCAGTTGTGAAAAATGTGAGTTATTCTTGCCAACACAAACCTGAGCTGAAAGTACAATGGAAGTGTATTCTCTTCTGTGTGACTCTTGCATTCCAGCCGGATCGTTTGTTTGCCATAGAGGCTGTACTGTGCTCAGATTCAGGGCCCTGGTCCTCTGGTTGTTTAGTGATATGATTACCCACGGAGCCCCAAGGATAAACACTCGCACCTGCTCCTCAATAGCTTCTCAAGATCACTTTAACAGGCACAATGACGGTTATACTTTATTTATTTGCTCTCTCATATTTCTTTCATCCCAGGGAGAATATTGCACATCTAATTTCCGATCACTTTGCTGCCTCTGACTCACTCATCTAATGAGTAACTGCTGTCATGGAGAATTGGAGAAGTCGCTCAATTTGAAGGTTGCGCTCCATTCCTCGACAATTATTAGAACATCAAAATATCTTGGAAATGTGTTTTTCAGTGCAACCTGTCAAATGCGTCGACCCCCCGTCTGCTTAATATGTACACATAAGACACCAGTATTAGATGATTTACATATCAAAAAAGGTTGCGAACAAATTTGTCGTTCTCAGCATTGGGTTGGAGATGACTCATGTCTGGCCACCACATGCTCTTTCCAGAAGAAAGATGGGAGGCACAGCACGAGGGAGGAGAGCTCCGGCTCCTTCAGGTAGAGAAACCCAGGCACCCTGTGATGATTAGTGAGCGGCACCTCATGCCAGCACCTTTTTAAACACACGGACCTGACTGCGAGTGTAAGCGGCACACACTCCACTCGTCCTACTTGCTTTCACACGAGGGCTGAAGCCATCGATTCATTTAGTAATCCAGTATTCTACAGTATTTATCAATTAATCTGATAAAAAAAATACTTTCGCCTTAAGTAGCTACAGTAAATGTGCAAAAGAGAAAATCAGACTAGAATAACTAGCCTTTTAGGTATCACTTTAAGAAAAAGAAGTGAGGAAATGCTGTTGATCTGATTGGCGGTTGACCGGCCTGTGTTACTTGTGCTTTTATGAGCTATACTTCTTTTTGCTCGAGTGTTCTGTGTTGTAATTTCTTTCTTGTATCTTTTCTGAATTGATGTGCTCATAGTTGCCTTGACCAAGTTTGTTTGTCTGTCTGGGTAGTAGGATGTCTCGCAGACCTGTCGAGAGATTTAGGTGACTATGAGGCCATAGGCCAATTGCTAACATTTTGGCACAGATATGGATTCATGTACAGACCCCGTCATTTGTTTTAACCCATTTGAAATGCTCGTATGTGCATGAATAAAACATCTGATCATAGTTTGTGTTAAATGTGATGTGTCCGCCTAAGACCTTCCATTAGCTTTTGATTTGAAGATGTACGTAAATACAAATTCAAACCATTTTGAGGCTCCCCAGCCTTCAATTACCGAAAGCAAAACAGCCACGCATGCATGTCTGAAACCCAACAATTACGGTCGTTGATGCTAAATCACAAACATGGCTTTGCGTTGTTTTGTAGCCTTTTTGGCCCCTTGCTGTAACCTCACCATGTTTGCTGGCTGAAGATATTGTTCTACATGATCTAGTCTGAATCAAAGAACCTCCCTTTGTGTGTGAAAGAGCTGATTATTCATGTCGGATGATCTGCTGTCCTCTCTGCTGTACACCTCTTTTAGAGACCGCTAAGACAGGTAATTGTCCTTTCGCGAACCGCCCTGCCTCGCTATAGGGTCTGCATGCGTGAAGTGTCGAGCATAAGGTATATGGGCCTCTGAACGTGCCATAAAGAAGCCCACGTTAATGAGCTGTGCAGCAAAGGAGGTGCCTCTGAAAAAGTACTGAACGCTTGCTTCACTCTCTTTGGCAGCAGTCTTCTCGATGGTGTCAGCTCTTTCAGCGAATCAAGGCCTGTTTTACGCCGATATTCCTAATATTTATTCTCTGGGTTTTTGTGTGCGTGTCGTTTTTTCTGTTTCCCTGCACCAGACCCATTTTACGCCTTTGTCACCTCAGCCAGCGGTTGCAGTTAGTTATGTGTGCAATAAGCAGGCTTTGTTCTGGAAAAAAAATATGCCAGTAGGTGCGGCGCCCTTCATCTCTCCAGTTTTTTAACCTAAGCCTGACCCGAGAGACGTTGGCATCGACACAAAGGCACACACAGTGAATGGAGGCTTTATCGCCCCTATTCTAACAAGGCGAAGTCTCTGCAGCTTACCCATTCAGACCACCTTCAGAAAATCTGTACAGGAAATAACTCTCTTTAAATGGAAAATTATGTTTCTTCTTTGTGTGTGCTTGTACTCAGCCATCCCTTTCTTTTCTTCTGTTGCTTCAGGTTCAATTACAGATCGACGCACCATCTCACCACAAATGGCTTCTACGAGTTCCTCAACTGGTTCGATGAGAGGGCCTGGTACCCCTTGGGCAGGATCGTTGGCGGCACGGTGAGTTTTTCCTCAAACCGACGCAGTCAAGCCAAATGTTTCATTATATGTATCATTGTTCACTAATTCTAGATTCTCTTACGTTCTTGTGAAGTTGAGGAAAATAAATGATTGAAACGAGATGAGACGTGGGTGATGGTTCGCACAAAAAAAAAAAAAAAAAACTAAACGGGAGAAAAGATGTGCTCCAGCAGCTTCTGGTTGTGATCACACAGCTCAGCCTCTCAGAGGTCTTATGTAAGGGTTCTGGAAAGGACGCTCCAGGCGATCAATGAACCTCAGATTGAGGAGGAGCGGTGCAGCTTCCTTCCTGGTCATGGAACATCTTTAATCTTGGAAGAACACTGGAGGGGGTCATGGAGCTGAATTTACGTTTGGTTTTTTTATACTTGGAAATGGCTGACGACCATGTCCTGCAGACGGTCTTGTAGAGGAGGTCTGGGCACATGAGATACCGGGGCCGCTGATGCAGTACTCGCTTGCCAGAATGACTTATTGCTGTGGATACATACACAGCTCTCAAAGATATTTTGCAGAAGATGTTTTGCTCTGCCAAGATTTTGCCCACTTTCTTTCTTTTTTTTATGGCAGAATCTAAAGGCACAGCAGCGCGGTTATCTCAGGATTACATCGCCACATTTTGCCGAGCGCTGTTGGCTTAATCAGACACTAAAGTGGTTTGGATGAGAGTCAGCAACTCCGCCATGACTCTCTGCTAGATTGCCCCCCCCCCCCCCCCCCCCCTTCAGCCAAGGGGAAAGTTGCTGGCTTAGGTGGGGGAGTACGCGTGAAGTGGGGTCTTGTTCATGAGTGGGGGTAAGATGAGGCCTCAGATTGGCCGGCAAATTGGTGCAGAATTCCCAGTCACGTGGGTGTTGTAGCTAAGCCTGAAGGCAAAGCTGTGAATTTACTAGTTGATCTCTCACCTGTGGTCATGAGCTCCGGGTAGTGACTGAAAGAATGAGATAGGGCTTTCAAGCCACTTTAATGGGTTTTTTTTCCCACAGAGGGTTTCTGGGCTCATTCTTTAAGAAAAGAGCGACCGAAACATCTTGCCGTAGAACCACAGCTCCTTTGTGTTTTTAAAAAGAGCTAGTTGAGGCGGTTTGGGAATCTGACCAGGAAGGGTCCTACACACCTCCCTGTGGAGATGGACCAGGCTCGTCTACCTTGGCAAAAATCCCAGGCAGTCCCAGAGCATGCTGGGGGGGAGGGTTAAACATCCCACATGGCCTGGGAATGCTTTGGTAGATGCTGACTAGGGGAAAAAGGGATGTCTGGGCTACTTTGCTTAGGCATTGTGAATTTGACCTACTTAAGTGGCAAAAAAAAAAGGATGGATGGATGGATGGAAGTTTTATATTAGCCATGGCAGGAATTTGTGTGGGATTTGCAAAATCTGCAGTTTCAATCCTTTTTATATGAAAGAATAACCAGAGCAGCAAACTGTCTGCAGTCAGTCCATCAGTGAGTACAGTCTGGCATAAAGTTCTGCTTTAAATCATAATAATCATGTTAAGGTACCTGTGACCCCAAAAAAATGAACAAACATAAATACTGACATGTATGTGCTTGTATGTTTACATGTCTAAAGAATCAGATCTATACACACTGTTAATATTCATGAGCACATCGGGATCACTCAAACGTATTGATATGTAGTCGGTGTTTACGTCATTAGTGGTAAATGCAAGAGAAATGAGAAGCAGACCTTCAGTTGTGTTGGTCTTCAGTTGTGTCTGGGGTTGTGCAAGGCAGTGCAAGGATACCATAGAGTCCCATAAGCCTGCGCCAGGCAGCATGGATTTGAGTCACAATCCAGTAGCAACAGTGAGCTGTTCACTTGACAGATTTCCCCCCCCCGGCTGCTGGTGCGTCCCTGCTTACCAGCAGCAGCGGTTGTTGTGAAGCATTGACCCTTTTCAGTGAAAAATGCGATGCGTCGATTACACACAATTTATCTCCCATTTCCCCCGCCCTCCCCTCCCCTCTGCATTTCTTCTCCCAACTTCATCCTCTCAACCCTGCATCCTGTGAACCGCGAGGCCTGTGTGAGTAAAAAATAAATGAATAAAAACCTTTTGGCCGATCCATCTCCCTCTCTAACAAAACCCACATACCTTCTTTCTTTTGACCGAGCTTCACGAACCAGCAGGCTCGCCCTCTGAGCTGTAATTGCACCAGCTAATAATGTATCCGGTCTACATAATCCAGGGTCCTCAGTGCCAATTAGATGTAGAAATGTCTCCCGACGTGTCTCTATTATTGGGCCGGGCTGGGATAGAGCCCGGCCCTCGGCTTCTCTAGCGTGACTCCTGGTCCCTTCTCACACTTTCTTTCTTTCCTTTTCTCTGTGTCGGCTGATTGGAGAGTCCTCTGCTCAGTTGAGACAGCGAGGCATGTTAATGTTGTGCATCGCTATCGGATGCCGTTATCATTTACAGCACCCAGCAGATGGTGCGGGAGCAGGAGCAACGCTACATGCTAATGTTTGAATGTAGTATTCACTACTGCACAAGAGAAGCAAGGAATTTGAATCCCAAGCCCATCCACCAGCATTCATCTGTCATCGTCAATTACCATCAGCTAATTGTAATTACCTATGACAGGCCTAGCTTGTAATAACGGACGTGTTGGTTCTGTTACAGTACATGGATTTAGGCCTTGTACCCATCGGGGTGGAAGTTGAAACTCCTGATTAAACTGGATATAAGAATTGCAAGGCGAATAGTTTTTAAGTTAATTTACACGACGCCTTGTCTTCTGCGTGCAAATAAGCATACAAAGCATTCACAGATCACATCTTTCCTCTCAACACTTTTATTGGCATATCATGAATGTATTAGTAAATAAAAAACCTGCAGAGTAATTCACACATGGTTCATTAGAAGAAGATTATAGCGAGTTGTGCTGATCTCTGCTCAAATGTAGTTGAACGTTGCTTTAGATATTTTTTTACTGTACTCAGCAGACTACCCCTCAAGCAAGACCGATCTGCAAACAGGACACACGAGGGCTTACGTTTTTTTTATCAACGCTCTGGTTTTGTGCGAGGTTTTTGTACACCGACGTAACGCATCGCTTCCTCTCCAGCAGATCTGGCTACAGATCTGTAGATCGTTTCTCTTTATGAGTATTAACTCTGTTCTCAACATCCTTTTTCTGCCAGACGGTCTTACATTTATTTTCAGATTAGACTCAATGATCCGCTCAGTCGAAACTGAAAAATTGCTTTGGTCTGAAACCACTTTATTGCACGACAAAAAAAGTAAATACCTGCAATAAAACAATATACAATTACTCAAATGCTTTGAAAGCAAAACCAGGTTAAAATATAGTATTATTATAGTAGACTTGAGGCCAAGCTAATGGCGTTTCTGATGTCTCTTTCTGTTGGAAGCGTTAAACTGAGCAGTTACAAAAACACTTAGCCGAGCAGTTTCAGCAGGTGTTATTTCGTGGAGCGATTGCCTGGCCAGAATATCTTTGCACTGCAGTTACTGAGCAGTTATGGTCGTCATATTGTCCTCGCATAATGTGTTATTATTTTGAGCAGTGTTTGGCTGACTATTGTGTCCACATCAGTGACTCTAAAGGGAAGGACACAATCCACATTGGAATCAATTGATGCCGTGCATTAGCTGAGTGTGCGACAGGCTGGCAACCTGGCATCAGCTTTCGGTTGCCAAAACAGAAAACATGTTTTGCAATTTTCAGTCACCTTAGCTTTTTTAGTAATTCAGATACTAAGCAGCCCACTTATAGCAGCCTGTTTCTCTGTGCCACAGAGCTCCATTGTCGTCCCAAAATCCTCATTTCTTGGAGCACATTTTCCTCAAATTCTCAGTGTCAAAGTCACCAGACCAACCTCTGAAATTCAACACTTCTCAGATAAGCAAAGTTCTGATTAATGGAATTAATTAGTATGAAAACTGATCCTTCATTATGACTGATGTGGGTCCGTCTCTTCTCTCCATGTCAACTAAAAATATACAACAAATCACCTTCCATCTTTAATCCACAGGACCATATTCTCAATCCACATTATTCACATATTTTCAGTACATTACATTGTGTATATATGAGAAAATAAACAGTTGATAAATTTACTGTCCCTCTAAAGTCAGATTAGGGACACATTATGGAAAATGTAGTCGCTGACTCCACTGGTTTCAATTGATGCCAATGATGTTAAAACTATGACATTAACCAACCAGGAAATTGATTGCACTCTTAGATGTGTTCGCACCCATATCAGCTGTTCAAGTGCACAAACAATATTTTTTAAAGTCTCATAAAACGTCACTGAAGAATCCTCATTAACCAAAACCAAACAAAGTGTTAATTTAACAAGTGATCAGTGATTACAGTTCCCACAAGTTGTTTTAATACTTAAAATATTCAGAGAAGAATATGATTTATAGACTGTAGACTTACCAAAAGAAAACCTGTAAATATACCATAACTACAGACAAATATACATTTAAAGTAAATGGCGATCTATTTTCAGTTAACTCAGTTCTAAGTTATTTGTATTAAGGCTTTTTTAACTGATTCACCTTAACCTCTTAGCCCCGTAAGTTTAGATTTTGTAGTAACAGGGCCTCCTTTCGTTACTTATCCACAAAATGAAATAAGTTGCAATTCAATCCGATGCTTCACCGATATGTTCTAACCGACAAAAGCCCAGATTCCGTCGGCACGTTAGCGTGCCGTTCACTACCGAGTCCGATTTGTGTGAAATTGGGGAAACACTGTCCATACTTTTGATCTCATGTCGAAAAGTTTCTGATGTTGCTTGCAGGTGTTGGTAGGTCTTGTTTTCAGTTACCGCGAAGCACGAAGATCTGGCACCAATTTCCTCAAAGTTGTTTGATACCAAGTAGGACCGTCGTAATTTGTTTTCCTGATACCCAGCCCTCGTTCTTGGGTGTTGGGATATAAAGTGTTGGTCTGCTTTCAGTCAGGAATCAGTACTACAAGTCAGCTTCTAATAGATGTTGCAATTTCAACCCCAACCGTGGGCCTCAGAGGGGCGGAGTCATGCTGACAACCGACATTTGACTTGGAGGAAGGTTATTGCCAGATGGTCGGTCGGTCACACTCTTCCTTATAGGGTTCACAGGAATTTAAATAGCAGGCGGTCGGGTCATTCAGTCGGCCACACTAAATGCAAATGTCTCCCTATGACATGTAAATCTATGCAAAATGGAGCAAGAACTGATGCACTGAGGAGGTCTGACAGAGCTGCTGCAGTGAAAGATCCATGTCCACTCGAGACTTTCCCCTGCTGTTTCTTTTGCATACGAGGCTGAGGTGTGGGACTGGTTGCCACACTAATCTGGTGCCTTGTTCAAGGGCACCGTGGCGGTTAATTGTCAAAATTGTTTGCACGACTGAGCTCCATCATTTCCTGAGCATGGACAGGCTTCAGGGGGAAGCAGGGCATTTCGTTTACTCCCACACGGCATTCAGCATCACAAAAACAAAATGTGCGAGAGCTCTTATTGGCACCAAGCCTGTGCTTTTGAAACACACAGGGGTGTGGACGAGGTCTGGGTTCCTCTCAGATCTCAGTGCAGCGTGTTTCACAGCCCGTAATGCAGCTCCAATCTGTGGCTTTTGCTTAGTTTACTCTGTGAATCAGAAAAAGTTACACTGCCTCCCTTGTTTTCATAAGCGAGTGTTGACATTGTAACAACGCCGGTCTCTGTGCTCATTCGGTGAGGTGGTCTGTAATCATTCTGGCTCCATTAAACCACCTCTGCTCCCACTGAAAGCGGCGACGAGACTCTTTTCTGTTGCAGTGAACCTTTTACCCGCCTGCACTCTATTTAACATTTCCATTCTCTCCTTTCATCCACTGCAGTTCACTTTTCCTCCTCATTGTCTCCTCAGCCTCTCTGCCTTCTTTTTATCTTCCATCATCTCTCTTCTGCTGTCTGCCTCTGCCTTTCTGTAGCTGTCTTTCCTCACCTCCACTCTGCCTCC